TTCCCCACTTCAGCACCCTCCAAACAGGGTTCCCTCCTCTAGGTCTTCACATGGCTGGCTCCTACTGTCACCTCAGAGAGGCCTTCAGTGAGCACCCACTCTGAAGAAGTCCCCACCAGCCACTGAACACAGGTGTCAGCCAGCTGGTTCTGTAAGTGCACACGGTAAGTGTCTCAGGCAGCGCGAGCGGGATGTGCTGGGTGTGGTCTCTGCCGCCACCACTCACCTGTCACAGCCAAAGGCAGGCATCGGCAGGACGTGCACCGGCAACGGTGGCTATGTTCCAGTAAAACTCTATTTATGGACACAAACTCGGCTTCCTATCATTTTCACAAGTCACAAGTGTTATTCTCCTTTTGATATTTTTTTCATCCATTAAAAACATAAAAACCATTCTTAGCTTCCAGGGATGAAAAAAAAAAAAGGCAGCAGGCCGGATATGGCCAAACTGTTTTGATACATCATCCTGTTTTATTTTCATCAAAGCACTGATCACTTCCTAGTATTTTCTTGTTTATTTGCCTTTTTTATGGTTTGTTTATTATCAGTCTCCCCTACTAGAATGGACGTCATGAGAGCAAGGGTCCTTGCATTCTCCCCTGGCACCCTCACCACCATGCAGGGTGCTTGGCATACAGTAGGTGCTCAGTGTTTACTGAGTGCTGGAATGATTGCTGTGCCACACCAGCCCCCAGCCCCTCCCACCGCAATCCCTCCTGGAAAGGCCTAAAAGGACAAGTCTTAGGGGACAATAGTGGCACTCCCACCCTACTCTTTCCCTACCCTTTCTGCTTTCCTGTTCCTTCCCCCTTTCCTGTGAACCAAGAAAACTTAGTCTAAGGCTGCCTCTTCTCAGTGCTCTCAGACCTATAGTTAGAGAATAGTGTCAGGTCACTGGTCCAGCCCACACAGGGGGAGCTGCAGGTTAATGGGGCTTCAAAATTATCCCCTTCAAATCCCAAGCTAGTGAAGGGGAACATAGCACAGCAGCTAATATGTGTTCGGTGCTCTGAGGAACGCCAACTGACTGAATATTCACAAGCATTGGGACTTTTCAGCATCATGTAATGGGTGTTGTGGTTACAAAAAAAAAGCCATCTCTAACCAATTTCCAGAGAAAAAAAAGATTCCTTGCTCCTTGGATAGGAGAATTCAGGTCCCCAAAGTGGAGACAGGGGCACCGTTGCTGGCACAGTCCTTTAAGCCCACCCAACTCCCTGGTTGAACATGTGCACGAGCCACCAGACGCAAATGATCTGGTTTCCCACGGGGGAGGAGGGTGCTGACAAGCACACACAGGTGCTCCCATGACCTGGGAGTGGCACTGCCCAATGTGAGTTAGTGAAGTGGCACTTGGGCTTATCAATCACACTGTTCTTTGTGAGCAAAGCTAGTCCTGGCTACAATGAAGTTCCTCAGATGCCTAGCCAGGACCACATCCTACCAGCCCTGCCAGAACCTCCTTTTGACCACTTCCAGATCCAGTGGCTTTTTGTGACCCTCTGTTTTTACATACATAATGCTGTGCTTCCAAAAATGCAGAGCTCACAGAAACTAAGGAATTTACATGACCCAGGTGGCGGCCAAGGCACTTGTCTCTGACCCCCATGCTTGCAAGCACCCCCAACTACTTTCCATTCTCTTTGGAGGGACTGGGCTGGCTGGGCAGGCTTCCGCTGGCCTGGTTCAGTTATGATGCCTCTGTGGCCCCTGCTGCTTCTGTTGCTCTATTGACAGATGACTTTCATTTCTATTTAAAAAAAATCAGTTGACAAAAGCCTTTGTGTACATGGTAGACTTTACTGAAGATGTGGAGAGACAAAGGGGGTTTTCATAGCAAAAATACAAAAACTTAGTTGAATATTAGACATCCTTGAGCTTAAAAAGACCCTTAGCCATTTCCACCAACTGGTCTCCAGCCGCCTACAAAGGCACTTGACCCTTTCCCCATCCTTTCTCAGGAAGTAAACAAACAAATTCCAGACAGTTTCCTACTCAGAGTGACTTAGCCAACATTTGTTCTGTCCTCCACTGGGGCCCTGGGGCCAGCTCTCTCAGCCTTGAGGCCTCCTCCCGCCTGTTTTGCCTAGAGCTTGTTTTGTTCTCTAAAAATAAGTGTGGTGTGTGTGTGTGTGTGAATAGTTAGGTGAAATTTTTATACCCCCAAGTCAGTGATTTTCAAACCCCCAAGTCAGTGATTTTCAATCATGTGCCACAATAATTTTTAAAACATACAACACCTGACTATTTAGTCAGGAGCGCTGACCTCTTTTCCTTTAGGTTGTCAAATAAAAAAATGACAACAGGCAACACAATAGCCATCCGGTGTGAATGAATCAAAATTATACCTATTCTTTTTTTTGTCAGATCAGCAAAAAATATATTTTTGGTGTGCCGCAGAATTTTAGTAATTCACTTAATATCTGCCCTGAGTTATCAGCCCCAGGTCAGCCTGGCTCCAGGATTTAAGGTCTTTTTTTTTTTTTTTTAAATATATTTTATTGATTTTTTACAGAGAGGAAGGGAGAGGGATGGAGAGTTAGAAACATTGATGAGAGAGAAACATCGACCAGCTGCCTCCTGCACATCTCCTACTGGGGATGTGCCCGCAACCCAGGTACATGCCCTTGACCGGAATCGAACCTGGGACCTTTCAGTCCACAGGCCGACGCTCTATCCACTGAGCCAAACCGGTTTCGGCAGGATTTAAGGTCTTAAAAACAACTCGTATAGATTTAACTGTTTGGGGAAAAGCTTTTTGTTTTCATCTTGGAGCTGACGTAACAGGTAAGAAGAGGTCAAACACAAATGGCCACTGGGTAAAGCCAAACACATTACTGCTTGACCTCACATTCCTCCGCTATGCAGGTGTGGCCCAGCAGAGCCCACTCCAGGCCCAGCCCTGGCAGTTGTCAGAGCTACCTGCTGTCATCACCCCTGCTTACAAGGGGTGTCAGCCCTCCTCCCGCTGGCCCTGTCACCACCCTGCCCACTGTCCTCTGAACTCTACAGTCAGGGGAAGGGAGCTGATATACGTAGTATGCAGGAGGCCTGGGCCAGGCCACACCATGGCAGTCCCTTATTCCTCACACCCCTGGCTTCAGTCCTGAAAGGGCAGAGCCTGTGTCCACACACACGCTCACGCCACACTTGTGCACACGCACCTTAAACTCCTTCTGCATGTGTCTCTCTTGTTAGATCATCCTACTCTATGGAAGCTCATTGGTGGTCACTGGGTCACAGGCTGCTCTGTCATCATCAGACCCCACAAGACAGGCAGTGTCTCCACGCCCCCATCTCCATGACGGTGCCTGCTAGCTCTAGATTGTGTCAGGAGGTCAAGGGCTCCACCCCAGAGGCCTCAGGAAGCCTACACACCTCCCCGGCCCCAATGGCATGGATCCCACTGCCTGTACACGTGCGGTCACTCAAGCCCCGGCTAGGCTCCAGAAGTGGTGTGTGGTCTACAGGAAGTAACAGACCAGGAAGGCTATAGTCTCCACCCACAGAAGCTGAGTCTAGGAGGAAAGACAGACTTAGAAGCAGACAATTACATGTGCTTCTCGGTAGCCCAGGAGGCTCCAGTGCTGCTTTCTAAAATTCAGATAAAAAAGACTTACTCTCTTGCTTAAGACACTTCCAGGACCCCCTTCCCATGGAGTAAAACCGAGTGAGGGGGGTTGCCCTGCGGAGGAGGGAGGCGGATCACCAGCTCCTCCCCATCTGGATGGCTGGCCTGGGCAGGATGCAGCCCTGCAGCCTCCGCGCCTCAGCCCCTGCGTCTCTCCCTCTGTACCCCCGACACACCCTCCTCTCTGGCCTGGAACACACCAGGCACTGTCCTGCCCTTGCCCTCCCAGGCTTGAGAGGCTCCCCAGTGTCCCACCATCAGGACACTCTCCTTCTTCCACAGCATGTATCACAGTTTACATCTTGTTTCCTTGCTCACTTTTTCTTCCTCAGTAAAGTTTAGTAAGTGCCCCAAGGACCTCGTCTGTCTTGGTCACCAACACATTCCCAGGGCCTGGCACAGAGCAGAATTTAAATAAATATGTGCTAAGTGAGTGAATAAATGTATGAATACTGCAAAAAAGTTAGTTCCCATTCTGTGCCCCCTTCCTCACCTTCAAAACGGGACAGCACCGTACCTGTGGGGTGAGGGTTAGCAGAGATGACAGAAGTCCCTGTTTGCTGGTACATGTAACAGGTGCTCTAACGGGTCAGGACTGGAATGCTTTTGCCACACAAGAGGAGTGGCAAACCCTTCTGCATGAGGAGAGGTGACTCCACACTGGCTCTTGAAGCATGAGTAACCGTTCTCCAGTGGGGGCAGAGGCCCGGGAACATGTGGGGCCACAGCCAAGAGGCAGACATGCTGGGATGAGTGATTCAGAGAGCCCAGGGCCTGTGAGGGAGGCTGCAGGAGAGGTGGGGCCAGGTCAGGTCTCCTGTCTGCCCCAAGGGTCTCAGTCTGCCCTACAACAGTGGGACAGGCTCTACAGCTCATCTGTGTTCCCCACGGCTGACTGGCTCCGAATTTACAGTTATAAGTAGATGAATCTCCATTAGGCTACTGAGGTCAGTTCCTAAAGAAAAGGGAAAACTCACAGCCAACACTTGGCCCAGCAACACCTGCAGATTCCTTCCCACTCACAACACAAAAAGATCATCCCCTTCACTTGTGCATCTGTCCCACGGTCAACAGGCTGCTCACACATCCTTCGTGAGCATTTGTCTGAAGGTTCACAGTCAGCTAGCAGGGCAGGCACCATGAGTTCCCTTATCCAAACAGCCCCAGGAAAAGGGAGGGGCAGAGGGGAGAGGGCAAGGCTGTGCTGGTGACTGGGGGAGGGACGGGCAGCCTTACGCAAACACAAACCCTCACAGACATGCGGGAACATGCCAGCCCGAGCCAGGGACTCGGGGACCCCACGCCCCGCCTCGGCCCCCATGAACAGTAGCGTTAAGCAACTTGGTATGAGATCTAGCAGTAGTCCGTGTGTTTGTTAAAGCTTTTTAATAAAGAGAGGGGTTCTGGCCTGTGGAGGACAGAGGGAGACTAGGTAACCCACCTGGAAGGAGGGCCAGCCTTCCTCCTGCCTGTGTATCCAAACACTGCCCATCGTTAAGGGGCAGCCCCTCTCCACTGGGGCCCCTTCCCTGAATCATGCACACCCTGCTCACTCCCATCTCTGAAGACCAGTTCACACACACATATCTCTTCCCCATCCGATCCCCAAGTCTCTTATTCTTTCACCAGCCGGTAGATGTGGTGTTGAGCCCCATGCTCGCTGGCTGACACCTCAAGACATATGCAATGCACAGCAAAGTCTGAGGATCAGATTAGCCAGTTTTCCAATCTGACTCCTTTGACTGAAAGCTCCTACTAGTAACAAAGTATATTTATCAAACACATTTATGTGCTTGACACTATGGTAGGCTCTCTACATAAACGAGGTAGGTACTGTTATTAGACCCATTTTACAGTTGGGGAAACTGAGGCACAGTGAAATTAAGGAATTTACCCCAAGTCACAGGGCTAGGCAGTAGCTAAACACCAGGATTCCAATCCTAGTGGTCTGACGCTTGCTCCTAACCACCACTCTGTACCCCTCCTAGACACTGTCTTCCTCATTTGTGTATTAATATATATTATCTTCCCGAGTGAGCGTGGGGCACAGTAAACACCTGTAGGCAAGTTGAATCCCAGGCACCTGGGATTGTGGTTCCCACTGGGGATGATACCAAAGAGCCACTAGATGGCAGCAAAGAGCAAGGCCTAAGCCTCCCTGAGGGAGGTGAGTGATAAGCTAATCATCATAACATTTGTTTAGTGCATCTTGCACCAGGCACTTTGTAGACATTCTCTCTCCTCCTCACTAAGGCCTTCTAACGTGGGTGCTATTGCCTGCCCCCTTTACAGGCTCAGAAAGGTGGAGACATTTGCCCAAAGTCAGGCAGCTAGGAATACTAGGATGAAGCCAGGACTGCTGAAACCCAAAGCTGGCCTGTTAGCAGGAAATGAACAGGTGGTTGCCTCTAGACGCAGCATTGGTTCCACACCCTTCTCCAGCCCCAAGGAGCACAGAAACTACTGTTTGGGGAGGGCGTGGATGCCTGGGCTGGCCCTGAGGTGGTCACCACCCGACAGGCATCTTGGCTGGGAGGGAGGTAAGACTCACCAGTCAGAACTGGATGGTCTCAGAGACCACTGGGTCACCACAGACCTCTGCGCAACTTTCTTGGCCTTCGCCACCAAAAAGGGTGCTGCAAGACGCCAGCCTCTGCACAACTCGGCAGCCTGCTTCAGCACTGCCCCTCCTGTCCTCCATCTCGGGCTCCTCTGATCTGGAGCCAGTCCCCTCAACAAGCCAGCAGGGCCATGGAGTCCACAACCACCAGAGATGAATAAAACTAAACGGCTCAGTGTCCCCTTCCAGCAACTCAGTCACCTCCACACCTAAAACCCACGCCTGGGTTGGACGGGCCTCCCTGTTAGCTGCCCCGCGGCAGTGGCAGCAGAGGTGCCAGGCAGAGCAGCTGCAGCACGCTCAGGGAGCCGCGGTGCACACTCGAGCACGCACAGAATGGGAGCCCACGCGCCTGTCCTCAGGCCTCCCAGCGTGGCCAGCAGCAGAGTGCAGAGGCTCCAGGCAGCAGAGGGACCATCCAGCTTGACCTTCAGCGTCTGGCGACATTCCTGGCCGAGTCCACTGGGGCAATGGCTTCAGAACTGCCCATGATGCATCTCTGGGGCTGCTTCCGGCCCGCTTCCCAGACTGCCCCCCTTCTCCCACAGTCCCTCCCAGGGCTCCTACAGCCAGGTGGGGTCCTGTGAAAATACACATCTTGGGTTTATTTGGGGTTGGGCACTGCAGGTTGAGGCACAGTTTGTTCCTGGGTAGGAAGGGTCAGCTTTCTTGGCACTTCAAGGGGCTGTCCCTGCAGGTCCCCACCCCATGTCCCTACACACACACACACATCTCTTCCCCCGTCCCTGCTCCCCAAGTCTCTTATTCTTTCACCAGCCGGTAGATGTGGTGTTGAGCCCCATGCTCGCTGGCTGACACCTCGAAGACATATGCAATGCACAGCAAAGTCTCCTGTGTGTCTCTGTTGGTGACCACCTATGGGTGAGAGAAAAGGTGAGGGTTAAGGCCCCAGAAGAGGGCATGCCTTTTGCCGGACCCTCTGCCCCACCCCTGCAGTGCCCCCAGCCCTGCCCCCCGCACCTGCAGGATGGTGAAGTTCTCCAGCACGCTGTTCATCATGTACTTCTCGGGCAAGTGCTTCAGCTTGTGGATGAAGTTGATCATGTACTCACAGAGCGGGGACCGGTGGATGCGGTAGGAGTAGTGGCCGTTTTCGTAGCGGGCATACTCTGTCTGCAGGACCGAGGGGACAGCAGGGCTTAGGTTCTCTTTTGACCACATTCAGCCCAGGCCCAGCTGCTTGGGGAAGCTCCAGAACCCACTGACTCTTAAGTGGAAGAAAAGGCAGAAGGCCTAGAGGCTCTTGAGGTCAGAGCCTTCCTCCTCCCTCAGTAACAGGGGCTCGAGTGGCAGCAGAGGGACCATCCACCTTGAGCTCCGATGCTCAGAAGGTGAGCATTGAAGGAGGAGCGCTTCAAGACAGAGTAGTGGCAATAGGCAAGACAGGATAAATGATGACTCAGTCCTGACCACACACTAAAATAACATGGGGAAGGGTGCACAGGAATCCTTGTGGCCACGGAACTGTCATGTGTTTGTACACACACACACACACACACACAAATACCGATGAAATCTGAATCAGATTATAAGTGGCATCAATGTCAATTCCTGGTTGCCAATAGTTATGCAAAATACTGCCCTCAGGGGAACTGGGTGAAGGGTACATGGAATTACAATTGCTTGAGTGTCCACAATTATTTCAAAACAAAAATTTAATTTAAAATAAATAACTTGAAGTGCTTTTTACAAACAGCTACTACCCAGATTCCACCCTGGAGGTTCTGGGGTAAGTGCTGTGAAGTGGGGTTTATGCATTGGTAAGTTTCAAAAGCTCCAGTGATCTAAGTGCAGCCAGGGGTGAGAACACTGGGAAGGGAGTGCCTCCTCCCTGGTACCAGCCCGGCATCTGGTGGTGATTAACATGAGGAGGGTTATCAATAACTAAGAGACAGTGAGTGTAAGACTTCATTAGTTCAAATTTGGGGAAAGCAGAGGGCATGAATGAAGACCAACCTGAAACAGCTTAAAGGTCTGGTTTAACAGTGCACAGGGTACTCCTACCTCCACTTTCTCTACCACCTGCTTGCCGAACGAGCAGACCTTGGTGGAGCAGGTGATTATCATGTTCTCGGGACTCTCGTACTGGCTGGAGACCCCGTAGAAGGAGCTGCCTTCGTCCTCCATGTTGGTGTTGAGGTCTGCCTGGAGACATGGGAAAGCCAAGAAGCAGACAGGTAAGTCAGCAGGCACACGATCGGGGCGGAGACATGGAGACCTCTGGGGCCCCAGTCCAGGTTCTAGGGCCAGGAAGCAACCAGGAGGCTTTAAATGAAACCTGGACAGTAGGAGGCTGGAACGCTTCCACCTTTCTTCACTTGCAGGCCTGGCATAAGATCAGGTTCTGCTGCCTAAACAACAGAGAAAAACACTGGGACCTGCATTAGTTACAAGGCAGAAACGTGGACCATGCCTGAAAAAGAACTAACAGGAAGCTCAAGTGCCTGGGAAAGGCAGGCACCTGAAGCGGGGGGCGGGGGGAGGCCAGGACATAAAATGATGCCTCTCAGACTTTAGCCACTGCTGGCGTCCCTTTGATTAAGGCTACATTCATGTACCACCTACCACAGGTCCTACTATGCCCCTAATGGTTTCTTTTAAATCAACTCTTATTCCCTAACTCCATTCTTAGCAATATAGTCATGAAATCAGGGATTCTATTTTTCTAATATACATGAAAACAATTGCATAACTATTTTTTAAAAATGTTTATTCATGTGCCACCTAAAAGAACACTATGCAACCCTCTTAGGCTCTTCAGACCATACAAAGGTAGCACTGCCCCAGCACCCCCAAAGTGATCTGGACATGCCCCTCATCGCCCCCTGCTGGCAAGATCTGTTCAGGTGGCCTTGCCTCTTCCAGATGGTAAGCATCCTGGAGGCAAGAACTAAGATCTCCCCAGGGCTAGGGCAGAGGATGGGCCTTCAATAAGTCACGTGTGACTGTTCCACCCCTCACCTCTGGGTGGCGCCGGGTGAGAAGAGAGAGGTCCCTTGGTCCCAAGGAGGGACCTGCAATCTCCTGCTTATGAGGGGAGTCCTCTCAGCTCCAGCTCCGCCACCAATTCAAATACACACCAGGGCTCTGCACCAACTCCTCACTCACCTGACCTTCCAACCAGTCACCGTTGATCCTGCCCCGCCCAGCAAAGCGAGAGCAGTGGGGGACCAGAGAGGCCGAAACACTGTCTCTGCTCTCAAAGAACTGAAACTTGTGGGAGAGCAAGTAGGATAAGTGAGCTGGTTGTCTGGGGTAGGATGGAGAGAAGAGGGCTGGGGAAGACAGAGAGCCCACAAGTGACAATCCAACATCTGCCCCAGACCCTGCCCCGTGGTGACGCTGCAGGCCCAGGAGATGCCGGCCAAGGCTGCAGACAATGCGCCCAGATGCCCCGTCTCGTCCTCAGTGCCCCTTCCTTATGATTACAACCCCACCCTTCTCCTTTCCACCCCTGCATCCCCCTACTCTAAGCACCTCCCCAAACAAGCTTGCTTCTCTACTTTCTCTGCCTAAGAAGAAAGCTGCCTCCTACATTACTCTGAAAGGTGCCCCCCACCACTCGCCTTCCTGCCCTCAGAATGCCCCTTGCTCCCCATCCTCCACCCTATTCATAGCTGTGGTGCGGGTGGGCAGCTCACAGGCCGTGCCTGGAACAGGTGTGGGGGATCGGGTGACTGACAGATGAGCCGGACAGCCGTAGCCTGGGTGTGGGGGCTGGAGGGGCTCAGATTCATTGTCATGTGCTGGTATGTGCCTGGGAGAAATGTCAGGGCCCAGAAGGGAACAGCAGCCAGTCCGGGGTACTCTCCTCCCTTCATGGCCTCAGCTCAGCTCTGCCCAGCATTTTCAATTTGCAGACGGGCATTAATGGCCGTCAGTGTCCATGAGTCCCCTCTCTCTCCACCCCAAGAACAGAGGTGGCCTCTGCTAGTCTCATATGTTCTGGGGAGGAGGGGAGGTCTCAGCTTCTCAGTCCTGCTCCAAACCCCACCGTATGAATCCAACAGAACACAGCTCACATCTCAATCCTTCCTGCACCCACATGCCCCTCCCAGCCGGGAACAATTTGTCCTGGCAGCCCACTGAGCTACGGCTGCGCTACTGCTGCCACTCCTTCCCTAAGAGCAGGACTTTCAGTGGGAGGTGGGTTGGGGACATCAAAGTCCTCCTCTCACTCCAGCGGGGCTCTGATCTCCCCAGCATGCCTGCACAAGGCCTGGGCGGGAGCGGAATACTGCCGGGCAGGAGAAGAAAGGAAGACTTCAGGAGAGGGGCACTGTTTCGTTGCCTTTGTCATTGCCCGTGGCCAGTCTCACACCAGCTGATGGCTGGGCAGGAAGTGGGTAGGCCAGGGCCCAGGAGATGAGGGTCCAGATGTCTGCAGACGCCAAGCTGCCTGTGAGGACCCCATGGTTGACCAAAAGTCTCTTGGTTTGCGAACAGGAGCAATTCTTTCCCCACATTTGCACTTCCCTGGTGCCTCTACCTTCCCCAAGCAAGAGGAAGGGGAAAGAGGAGATGCCCACCAAGATGTAGTGGCCACTGACATGCCCCCATGTCTGATTTCTCCTGTCCTCATGCTGCCCAAGCCTCTGGCCTTCAGAGATAGCCCGGCTCAGGCACAGGGCTAGAGGAGGCAGACATACTGCCTCCCTTCACTGCTGACTGAAACTTCGCTTCCCCCCTCTCCCCTCCCTCCAGGTCCTCAGAGACACAGCCTGTAGCAAGCCCTCAAAAATGAACTGCTCGTTTTCCAGATGGAGAAAAAGAGGCCCAGAGAAGATGAGATTTGCTTGTTGAGGCCCAGTGTTGCCCGCCTTGTGCCCCCGACATTCTGGAAGGGCCATGCTTGACCACCACGCTCCCCGGCACAGCAGTTACTGCCCCAGGACCCTGAGATCCATTCTGGATTCTGCCACTCGGAATGTAAGTTCCTGGAAGACAAGAGCTACGTTGGGTCCGCATAGCGCAGGTGCTGTGCACAGCCCACGGCCAGGGCACAAAGGCCTAATCGTGTGTCCTGGGCCCCCACGCTTCCCTACCTTCCCTTCTGTTCCCATCAATCTCACCTCCAACCTCCTCACAGAGGCAGAAAGAAGGAGAGGGCATGGGCCACGAGCAAGGCTACAAAACAGACAGGACAAGGGATGTCTGGGCTCTAGAAATCCAAGAAGCCCCACTGCCCAGCTCTACACTGAGGGCGCAGGGCTAAGACTGCTCTCTCTGTGCCGCCATAAGCCGTGTTCCTCAGGGTCAGGGGATCCTTTTCCAGGCAATCAGAGCCTTCTCTGACAGAAGGGGAGCACCAGGACCCCACATGGAGGGCACCCCGGGTACTTGGCAAGGTTTAGTGTAATGGTTCTGAGCTCACACCCTGGAGCCAGACTGCCTGGGTCTGAATCCTGGTCCTGCCACTATGAGCCTGGTGATGCTGGCAAGCCACTTCACCTCTGTGCCTGCTTCCCCGAGAGGGAATGTGGCTGTCAATTCGACCTACGTTTGGGGGTGTGGCAAGGATAAAACATGCTGATGTAGGTGATGGGATGCAAGCAGTGCCCGAGGTCACCTTTCACCGGCCACCCCGACGCACCTCACTGCGTGTATGTAACAAGACCCAGAAAGAGCTCATCCTGGCCGGGTAGCTCAAGGCCAGGCCCCTACTTACTCCACGCCTCAGTCTCCCCCCATGTGTGGAACTGGAGGCCTAGGATGGTCCTCATCTAGATGGTGGATAGAAGAATGCAGAATGTTATCTCCAACTAAAAGAAGGCAGGAGCCAGTGAAAAGAGCCCCAAATATGCCACCTCCCCACTCCAGGGTCGTGTTCCCATAAATGCCTCCTGCCAACCAGGCCTCCCTTCTGACCCTCAGGGTAGTTGAGGCAGTGCTGAGGAACAGCCGCAAATCACGTCACCCAAGCCCTTCTCCGAGTCAAGGCTAACCCTGGACAGGTTTGGGGTTGGGGGAAGGTGGACTCAAGACGGTGTAGGCTTCTCAAAGGGAAGGCCAGAAGCCTCCTTGGCCCACAGCAGGAAGGGAGCTGCCACGCTGGCTGTACAGGGACAATGCTCTTCGGTTGCCCAGAGCAGAGCTTCCTGGTTCCAATTCCCATGGTCAGGGCAGGAAGGGAGAGGAGGGAGAAGAAGAAGTAAGATTGTTTGAGCCCTTTCTGGCTGGGGTCCTAAAGAGATTGCTGTCCCTCACTGGGCCTATGTTATAGCAGTCTCCCACTTGTTTCCAGTCTGGACAGTTGATTTATCCAACTAAGCATAACACTGGCCATGCCATGCCCTGTTCAAACACTTCAGTGATTCCTCATTACCTAAAGAGAAGGGACAGCAAATACACAGTAAACGTGCTACTGTCTTCCCCCGCTACAGCCGTGACAGGCATTACTAGTCAATCCAGCACTCTCTCCACATCCTTCTCAACGCAGCCTTCCAACAACGATGGCCAGTCCACTGCAGGGACACTCAGGTTAAACCCATTTTTCTGGACACCCAGTTAAAATGGGTTACGAACCATACAAGTTCATTTTTCCCCTTCCAGACAGCCAACTAGAATGATAGTGAAGAACTTTTAAAAATGTGCTGCACCACAAAGGCGAAGAAAACAGAGAAGAGGCCATAATGACAGAGAGTTCAACAACTCTGAGGAGACTGAAGGCGGACCAGAACTAGAATGGATTCTGTGGGGCAAAGGAAGCAAAAGGAATTACAACCTAAAAGTGCTCTCTGAGGGGTGACAGACAAGAAGTGAACTGATGTACTTCAGAGAAGCCCCGAGTGGCTTGGCACTAGAGGGACCAGGATAAAACACGAGGAGCTGATTGAAGACTGTATATAGGGTGAACACAGGGTGGGCAGGCCTCCAGGAGGACCTCTCCCACCCACTGGCAGAGGACGAAAGGGTAATAATCTTCAGAAATTAAACAGGGCTCAGATGGGGGGGGCGGGGGGGGATAAGAATGAAAACAGAAAAATAAAGTGAAACCTGCATAAGAAAGGGTAGGGTCCCCTAGCCCTCTACCCTGCCCCCCTTCCTAGAATTCTACTGATCAAGTATATTCCTTCCCAGGGTGGATGGAGAATTAAAGGAATCTCCTCTGGAGAAACTGAATCACCTCAGAGAAAAAAAGTCCA